ACCATTTGTGTGTTTGACATGGTATCAGAGCAAGTTCTGGCTTATTCTTACTCTATTCGGTTTAGTTCTATTTTTCCGATAAAGGTCATTTCTGATGAAAACGTTTTCATGCATCTTTAGATCTGTGTTTCTCTTATATCGAAGAATCGACCACAAAGAAAATCAGGTTCCATATTCTCTTTCTCTAGAATTTTCGGATCTTGCTTGTTCCATATACTGTATTTTTTTCATCCCTCTCTAAAATCTCACTCCTCTCTCTCTCTTGGATATCCTATTGCTCATTGTCACAAATCCCTGTCTATTTTTTTTCCCTAAGAGCAACAGTCTCAAGGCCGATAACGATGAGGTTTCTTGACACCACCTGTTGTTGGGGCTGACTTCCTTGTAGCTTTGGTGGCAAGCTTGCTTCCTTGGTGCCTTTCCTCCCGTTGATTTACAAGCTGTCTGCTTCGTACAAGCCATTATTTCTCTTCACAAATCTCATTTAACAAATTCTAAGAAAGAAGTGAAGATTAGGGCACTAGAAAAGCAACGCAAACACGTGGTCTTTTGTTCATCTCTCTTGTACAAATCCATCAATTTTTTTTGTTGCAAATTGCTTGGTTCAAGCTTTCAATTGGATTTTTTTTAATATATATATTGAGATTCGATACCCACGTCAATCCTAGCCTTCTTCTTGAGAGAGATAAATTAGAGAGAGACACTTTTGAATTCAGCTCGTTGAGCCGACCAAAAAAAAAAAAAGAATATTAGCCGGTACTTATCAAGTCTGTGTTTTGATATTGGATTGAGTCTTTTGGTTGAAATTGTGGGTGTTCGCAGTATTTGCACATGGCTTCTGAAAAAGGAATTGTATTGGCCATAAAACTTGATGGAAAATAGTGCCAGCACCCACAATTTCACCTGAAAAATGTTTATGGGGGTATGTTGATGGAATTGAACTTGAACTTGTTATACCTAACACCAAAGATACCCAACAATGGAAGATCAACAATGCAAAAATTGTCTCATGAATCATCGGCTCTGTAGATCTGGATATTGGAAAGCCAATGAGAGGCTTCCGCACTGCGAAAGATATGTGGGAATATTTGAAAAAGGTTTATCAACAATCAAATCTTGCAAGACGCTTCCAAATTGAATATGATATGTTTACCTATAGACAGGGGGAGAAAAATATCCAGGAATCTTATGCTGATTTTAT